AATCTCACCTGAAAGGAGCTTCCAAAGCCATAACAGGCCTTACAGGAAAGGCATCCCCTTTCAGTTTTCCCTCTAAACAACAGCAGCCAGAGAAGGCAAAACCAAAGAGAAACCTTAAAAGCACATCCCGTCTCTTCCTACGACTCTCCAAAAAAAAGAAACCAGCTGCTGGTAGTAAACCACTTCTAGGCACCAGCAAGCTTTTTGCTGGTTTTGGGGCAAAGTCTGCTGACAAAAAGCCAGGCTTGTCTGGCTTCAGCTTGCTTAATAAAAAAGACAACAATGCAAAAGAAACCACACCACCTAAAAAGACAATAAATCTATCCAGTTTAGGTGGTAAAGGAAACATGGCAAAAGAGGCAAAGGGACTAGGAGGGAAGTTCAAAGGCATGTTTGGCAAAAAGAAAACCACACCAGGCTTTAAGGCTAAAAGTTCGATGTTAGGGAGGATAGCTGCAGCAACAAACTGGTTGACAGGGAGGTTCCTGACTTCAAAGGGCCATGGTCAATTTGGTGCAAGGGCTGGAGGACGAGGCCGAAAGCGCTTGTCATTTGCTAACAGGGACACTAGAGGGAGACAAACACATTATTACAATGGAGAATATGAGTATGATGATAATGAGTATGGATATGAGGATGATTACCATGACAGGTGGAGGCCTAGAGGCTTTGGTAGACAACCAATTGCCTATGACCCATATGACCCTTTTGGAGAGGAAATGGATTACTATGATGATGATGAGTGGGAAGATGAATATGGTTACTATGATGAGGAAGGCAACTTTTATTACGATGACGAGCTTTACTATGATGATGAAATGGATTACTATGATTACCCTTATGGCTACTATGAGGATGAGTATGACGATTACTATGGTGATGAAGGGGTGGAGTATTACTATGGTGAGGATGGAATGCTATATGCAATAGAGTCAGAACCATATGGCTATTATGGTGATGCCATAAATGGTTTCTCTGACCCATATGATCCTTGGCCATATGAAGAATACTTTGACCACAATGTGGGATCTGCCTTTGGCCTTTCAGACTCTTATGGACTGATGAACGGTGGAAATGGTTTTGTTTCCGGTCTATATAATGACCCAATGCTGGGATATCCACAGCCTGCTCCTACTTATAATCATTATCAGCAACCTTTCCATATGAATTCTGGGCTGATTCCAGTTGAGATTGGGCAGCTATATGGACAAGAACAGCTGTCTTATCCTCTACCTGAGCCAGTTCCTACACAGCAGTTCAGGTTTCCCAGGCCCCAGGTTAGGTTATTTGGAAAAGACAGACTAGAGGTGGAAACATTGCCACCACCTCCTCTTCATTCTCGTCCCCCATCTCCTATGGTTCCTCCTCCCTCCCCAGTTCTGGCCCTCAACAATCAGGAGATTATGTCAGATATACAATATGAGCAACCCATCCACTCATATCATCCTACACAGCCAAATTACCCTACTGTCATGAACCAACAACACACTTCCATTCTTGCTGGACACGCCCCCTTTCTTACAGCCGCAAGCATTCAACAAGAACACATTCCTTTTCCTCAGCACACATACCCTCCTTTCCCTGTTTCTCCTAGTCACCTGACCCCATCTCCCCTGCCACCTCAGTTCTCCTCACAAGTCTATCAAGATCCCCTTGCACAAGACCCACAGACATTCCAGATGGTCCAAATGACACCACTGGGCCCACCAGTGCAGCCAATGATGCATTCACAGCTACATTCACCTGTTGCCTCACCTAGGCCAGTGCGCCGAATGAGTCCCCTTCCATCCCCACAGCTATCACTGAGGCTGGGATCAACTAGGGCAATGGCGCCTCCTTCATCTCGCCTTTCACCACTTCACATGGACTTCCAAACAGGCATCCGGTCTGACCTACACCTCTCTCCTCACTCACATAGGCGGGTGCTCAGTCAGCGGGCCCCAGTGCCAGGTCAAAGGCCAACATCCCCAGTTAACAGGCGCAGACCACACAGTCCACCACCTTCTTCTCCACTACAACATAGGAGAGGTATGTCAGTGAGGACTCAGCCTTCAATGACAAAAGAAAGGGGAGATATTCGGTTGCGTCGAGCACCTTCATCTGTCCGACCCCAATCCCCAATTTCCAGCCCGCTAGCTTCTCCCCGGGGATCGCTAAGGAAGAGAGCAAGCCCACCACCTTCCCCAAGACTCTCCTTTAGACAGCAACCTCCACCAGATGCAGTCCATTTGCCTTCTACCAGACCGCAATTGTTCAGAGGAAGAAAACAGACATCTAAGATGAGGCGTTCCCCCTCTCCACCCCAGCCACATACACAAAGAAGGAGCCCGACTCAACCTGAAAGAGCTGAGTCGCCTCCGCGATCCTTCCGCCCCACCTCTCCCCATCGCCCTCCTTCTCCATCGCCGTCGCGCATCACCAGTAGACCCCTCCCCACCCGCTCCTCTACTCGCAGAATGAGAGGTGGTGCAGGGGTTCGAAGTCATGTGCCCATGGGGGCTGTGAAACCGTCTCCAGCCAACCCCTACTTACAGAGACACAGTCGACACGGGGCCCCTGTTACTCAGCATGTTGCCCCATTTAGGTCCTCCATCCATAGTGGTCCCGCCCCTCTTTCAGGTCAGATAGAGGATATAGCTGGAACACCCATGTTAGCCAGGGCAGGCTCCCGGCCTACAGGGTTAAGGGAGTCCAAGCGAATTGGTACCCCCCAACGAGGATTCCACAGACCTGTAGGTAGAGGGCAGCCATTAGTCCGAATGCCCAGAAACCAGCCCTCTCTTCAGTCTAGGCAGTCATTCAGAGCACCTCCTCCAGGTCCCCCTGCCCCTCCACAGCAATCATTGAAACAGAGTGGCCCTCTTTCTTCCCAGCCATCAGTGCGCCGGCTTCAGAGTACACCTTCATCTCCACAGCCCTTGCAGCAACAATCTCCAATGCTGTCCCGTTCTGCATCTCCCATGCACCATTTGTCTCATCCACCCTCCCCTTTGCCCCACAGGGCAATGAGTCCCCATGGTTTTGGACCAGCATCTTTTCAGCCTCCTGTTCGTAATGCTAATATTTCTCTTGGAACTTTTCCACCATCACAGAATATCACTCAGTATGACTATACATTGATGGAGCCAGACCCATCTCCAATGCTTACAAATGCTTTACCAAACCGTCAAATTGTAGGCTTACCCTTTCCTACCTCTCCTCTCCCTTACTCCACTATAGCTCACACTTCACCTTTACAAAGGCCCAGCTCCCCACAAACACAGCATGAGATTTACCCTCAGAGCCTCCCTCAACTTACACCCTCATCACCTAATCTTGGACGCACACTCCAGAACCCTTACCTGCACAATGTCAGCAACACCACAGCTTTTCAGAGGAGCCCATTACCTGGCATGCCTGGTGGACAGGAGGAGATATCAGCTAATGTACAGGAGAGCCAGATGATGCCCCAGTATCCCACTGCTGGTCTATCCAATGCTTTAATGCAGAACTCACGCCTACGGAGTGCCTCCTACTCATTTCCTCTGCAACGTAATGCCAACCTCTATACAACAGTTCTCACGCCACCTGAAGCAGCAGTCCCTCTTGCCCCTTCTGTCCTTTCCTCCCCACAGTTGTCCCCTGCTATGCTGACCTCTCAGCTACGTAATGCTTCTTTTGCTTCACCATTTCAGCGACAACCCTCCCCCACATTGCCAGGCTCACCTGCTCCTCCACCTTCCCCACAACAACAAGGAGGTGTCAGAGGTAGCTCCCCACTTCTCTCAGGTGGATTGCGAACTTCACACATCCAGGGATCCATGTTCAAGCTTCCAGGTGGTACTTTGACAATGTCCCGGGGCCCTGTTGAGACTCCAGTTAACACCAATAGTGTAGGTGGTAGCAGTGGGATGCTCTCTAATGCCTTACAGAACCAAAGGCTACATCGGGCGACCTATAGACTACCCGATGGCTCTTTTGTCACAAGAAATGAACCTGCTGAACATGTCTCAGGTCCATCTCCACTGTCTTCCCCTATGCTGTCCTCTGCTTTGCTCAATCCCAATTTGCGACAAGCCACATATCGTTTACCTGATGGTACACTTGTTACTAGGACAGAGTCCACATCTGCACCCTCCCTTTCCTCTTCTACACTCTCTTCTGCTCTTCTCAATGCTAATGTTCGTAACGCCTCTTATCGATTACCAGACAGTTCATTTCTCACACGTCCAGGAGAGCAGACGCAGAGTGCAGAGAGCTCAGTAGCCTCCCCTGGACTTTCTAGCGCCCTGATGAATGCTAACTTGCGTAAGGCAAAGTTTCAGCTCCCAGAAGGATCTTCGTTGTTCTCACGGAACCAAGCTCAACCTTCTTCCTCTGCTTCTTCCGGCCCTGTCCTTTCTGGTGCATTGTTAAAAACCAACATCCGTGGTGCCTCTTATAGGCTTCCAAACACATCATTATTTAAGCAGCCTGGATCTACTGATGCCTCTCAACCGCGCTCACTTGACCTTTCCAATGCTCTTCGCAACCAGAACCTCCGATCTGCCACTTACCGTTTGCCAGACGGAACTCTCATGACCCGCCCTCAGCCGACTTCGGCACCCAAAGCGCTTGACCTATCTAATGCCTTATCAAAAAACCCAAACCTTCGTGGGGCGAAATACCGCCTCCCTGATGGCAATATCATGACACGACTCGGTGCCCCCAAAACACCAGAACCTCGATCACTCAACCTATCTGGTGCTTTGCAGAACCCTCACCTTCGGGGGGCCTCCTTTTGCCTACCCTCCTCATATGCAGTAGTATCACCCCAGGTCCAAGGATCTGGCCCTAGACAGCACTGGGCACAGAACGCTGGAGTTGAAGCCCAACAAGATGAAGATGTGTGGGGGGCAGAGAGGGTTTTACCTCATGGGACAGTCCAAAACTTAAATAAGTGGTCCATGTATGGTGAAGGGGAGCTGCTGGACCCCCGCAGCTTGATGGGACAGGAAGGCTTGGGGAATGAGCAAGGAGAATGGAATCTCAGCAGGGAGGGGGAACCACATGGGCAGTGGTTTGACAAGGTAATTTCTAAAAACAAATGTGGCATGACACAACTAAGCATCCACAATGGCTAAAATTGTCATGGTGTCAACCTGTGAAGTGCTTTTGTTTATGCAGTGAGTTCGAAATATCTAGTGTAACATTAGAGTGAAAAAGTTCCATAACTTATTAGGTATGTCTTGATGTTTTTGTTTTGAAAAAGCAGAATGTTTTGCTAAACAGCAAAAAAGATAAAATTTCTGAAATGTTTTTCATAAAGTTTGAGGGTAAGCAACTAATAATAATTCAAAAGTAAGAGAATCAACAGTTCCTTGTGAGTGAATGTGTTCTTGTAATATGTACTTGCATTTCATTTCTGAATCTCTGTGCTTGTTTTAGATGTATTCAATCAGAAGCCTGCCCACCATGGTTCAGCGGGAGCAAAGAGAGGAAAATGGCGTTGAAGATATGACACAGCTAGAGTAAGTTAAAAACAAAAATGCCACAGTACACCACAGTTACACTTAGAACAAAGACTTACAATTGCAGTGGGGACCTTGAACACTGTCCGGCTGTTCAGGATTTGTATATATTTAATTCATATTTTTGGTTATCAGATTATGGAGGCAATGCATTGTGCTCAGCAGGCAGTGTTGCACAACACATTTTAAACCTTTATAACTAAAGAATGATGAAAGGGTGGAGAAAGTATTTGGCTGTAAGAAAAAAAAGCCCAATTTAAATTCAGTTGAACTCAAACATGAAAAAATAGTGTGGTTTTGGGTTGCTTTTTTTGTTCATAACCCCATAAATAATACTCTAATTTCTTCTTACCCCTAGTGACATGCATGAAGTGGCTGTTCTGCTGAACATAAGGAAAAGGTTTGAGAGAGAGGTTATTTATGTAAGTATTTAAAGTATTTAAGCAATGCACACATTGCAAAAACAACCCTAAGAAGTTTTTTTTTGTTTTTGTTTTTGCAGCACTCATGTATGGTCAAGTTATCTTGTTGTCTTAAAATTTTCCTTAATTTTTATTTAGTTGGATGACAAAAAACTTTGTCTATAAACATCTATGGCTACTTCACAAACTACATTCAGTTTGAAAGACAAACAAAACCTGACCTGTAAACCTACAGCGTACATTTTTAACCTGGAATTAAGAGTTATAAAAGGGACATAGTGCATGTATTTATTTCTTTGGTCAATAATTTTAGATACCAGTTTTAATACACATTGTAGCCTGATGGATTTAAATCTTTGCTGTACATCTAAATTGACCCACAGGCTGATCATTTAACCTAAGTCTGCTGTCTTTAGCAGTACTTGCTGTGTATGGTGTTATTTTTGTGCCACTATTCTGAGCACACGTAAAAAAAATTGCAGGTGCAAGTGTTGCATTTTGAGGAGAAATTTATTTCGAGCGAAGAAAAGCTAAATTTGAGAGAACAAAATTCATTGCTGCGTGCAAAAAATGTATTTCAGTGTTTGCTGTTATCCATACACACACACAAAAGCAGCCCCTGTCGCTCAGTTTTTGCATTTGCGTTTGTTCGCAATGTGTTGCTCGCGCTCTCAACATTTCTGCCTGTGCGTGCTCAACTCTTTCTGTACACCATTATATTTGTGCCACAAAACCAGCCAATCACAGACTTGGATGCAAAAAAAATCTGATTGGCTGTT